ATTTTGGACATCGGATGAACGCCATGACAAATTCAGCTGGCATTTAAGGGTCCTTGCCTGTGTTGACCACTGAAGAGAAAGGGCTGGGGTTCGATTCGCGTTATTCGAACGCATCCGCTGCCACCAGTGTAGATTACCCGAGCCCTAATAGGAGACAGACCGGAACAACAGAACAGGCTTTATTGACCAATCACAAGTCAGAGCCACGCGCCGGGCGCCTTCCATCCGAGTCCACCACGCTGGCCACGCCGCTCATTATATACTGCATCTCATCCATGTCCCTCTCTGGTTGGCTGCCTTCCTTTCCCGCATGCCATTGGATCGCAGAGAGATCCGGGAGTGGCTGAGGCCAGGTGGTCCAACATGTCTGCGCCCTAATCCGACGCCACACCACACCACACTGTACACTACACTATACTACACACAAAACACCATAATACTTTCTGAGCACACGGCTTGTTATGGCATTTGTACTGCGAGTTCAGCATTGAAGTTGTATCATCGCATAGTTTTCGGCACTTTTTGTCCCCTCTTTGTGTAGATTTACCCTTAATATGAATGTAGTGGTGGTCGTGCTTCTTGGTATTTAAGCGTATGGTCCCAGGTCGCACCTTTCGGTTTCCACGTTAATATGTGTATACATATACCTTTTTTCTAATATTTCACATTGCTAATATTTCGTGAGGTTGCAAGTTTTGTCAAACCCCTAAAGGTTCCTTATGTCTCTGGGTTTTTACAGTCCCAGCATTACTCTTTAATGATATGGTTACTTTGACGTACATCTGTCGACTTCTTCCGTTATACCTTAGATAATTTCAATTTAGCTTATTTCACCAGTTTCCATTTTCCTTGTGTAATGTCTTTCTGTCGCATTTTATTTTACGGGCTTTACCATAATATTTCCATCTATCCATTATTTTTCATTCTGCATGTTTATTTACATATTCATACTTTTGCTATAACCTTTTATTAGTCTGTGATAGTAAGTGTTTTTTGTTAGGAGCTGTGTGGACTTTCTAACAGCGAGATATCGCGGTACAGTCGGCAACTTATAATCCCTGAGTTCGGTCCTTCAAGTACGTGGTCTGTCCTAGCAATGTTTACCAGCGGTATTTAAACCAGGCGGCTTGTTGATCCGTGGTTATTTTCTTTCATATGAGGATTGTTTGGTTTCATGCCTGAAAATTTGTCTCCTTGATGCTCGGTGTAAACTCGTTGCTTCGTTTTTCACCATTAAAACATTAGATTTTTTCGTTTTAAATAGGTTTGCTAGAAATTCTATATTCATGTTTCTCTTTAAAATTGGTCAGTTGTACGAAATTTTGAATTTTTTATCCCTATTGTCCTATTGAAAGGGTTTTTGGTATTTTGTTCAATTTTTCAGGCTCTTTTTGCCTTTGGTTACATTCTAACCACTTTTTCGTTTCGCTTGGTTCCTTGCTGGCTCTGACGTCCTCTTTTTTATTTCTCTTTTTCAGAACAGCTAAAGCTAGGAGCATCGCGCGTCCTGGTTGTCGGATGTGGTGGATTAGGCTGCCCTGCCGCTGTCTACCTTGCTGCTGCCGGTGTCAGTAAGTTGTATTTGCGTTTCACCTACTTATGTTTAAATGGTAGTAAGTATTCAAGATGGAAATTTTTTAGCTCTATGCGTGTTTTGCATTGCCCTAGAGTTCTCTATTACCCACTATAGGGAAACTTCAAAATATTTTACGCAATATTTTAGCTAATTTAACCTTAGTTGATGATGACGTCGTTGAGATAAACAATCTTCATCGCCAAGTAATGCATTCTGAGAATAACGTTGGGAGGCCCAAAGTTGAATCTCTCGCCGAAAAATTAAAGAGGTAAAGAATGTTTTCCCTGAGTCAAGTCGCTTTAAATCATGTGCATTATCTTTTTTGTGAACTTTTGTAGTGTCAACAGCACAGTTCGTGTGGTGACGAAGAATGTCCACCTTACTAATGAGAATGCCTGCGAAATTATTTCTGAGTACGTTTACTGCATTTGCTTTGCATTGCTCCCATGTGTCTTGCTATGGCGTTTCCATTTTTCTTCCTTTAATTGTACTTCACACATTTGAATGTCTTGCACGGTCGCATAAATAAATGAGCAGCCAAATCATTTATTTTCCTGCTGAATCTCACGTTTTACCGCTACTCATTATGATCGACTGCAATTTTTTTCACATTTGTTCCTTAAGGTCATTCCATGATCACGTACTTTGTTCCAAATTCTGCTTTTTTGCAATTAGCTTGAAATAAATGAAGAGAAAAATGAAAGGCGATAGGAAATCATTAAATTGGACCTAACACCCGCACACAGAATTTATGAATGATTACAGCTAAAATGGAAGTCTTTACATATTGAGGTTTCCGGTGTAATTGCATACATTTGTGAATGTTTCCTTGGTTATTTTAATTTCTTAACTTACGAAATTGTAAAACGATAAGCGAATGTAAACCATTCCCGGACTGTCGACTTTTCTTTTCCAGAATGCACACTGCGCCAGCATCTAGCTTTTCTGTGACCACGGTGCGCAGGATCGTTCGATTTGCTCATGCCAACAATATTCAACGGAACAAATGTAGCGATTCCGCTATTTAGGAAGTAGCATTGCGATTTCTGTTTAAGATTTAACGTTCAAGCCATGAGGTCGACTTTAAACGGAGTACACATGACGACTAATTGATTTAGTCTAGGTGGATTCAATAGAAACACAGGTTTTGGTAAATTTGAATTGCTACCTCTATTCGCGTTTTGTTATGCTTGCTTTGATGATGCCGCATTTGTGGAAGTAGTGATTAAGCTACCAAGGGCTGGCTACTTCGTCGTCATTAGCTTTTGTCCCCATCGCGCCCATTTGTTACCGTTCCTTCAAGGCCTTTTTGGCAATCCTTAAAAGCCTTGTCGATTATCCTAACAATTGCAAGAATTTACTTTTTTATTTTAACCAACACTACCATGTGGGCGAATAATTACGAATGTACTTTCTATTTGAGCAACACCTTATCACTCCATTTTGGTGTTCAATGCAAATCTGATGAGCCAATACCTTTTCTTAGCCACGATGTAGTTTTGGACTGCACGGACAACCTAGCTACACGTTACCTCCTCAATGATGCCTGTGCTGCCTGCGGCCCCATTCCCTTAGTGAGCGGCAGTGCACTTCGTTTTGACGGCCAGATGACGGTCTATCTCACACATCGAGTACCAGAACGCGATGCCCCTGAGAGCGAGGCCAAGCGACGGAAGATGGTTGACAATGATCGAATACCTTGTTTCCGCTGCATCCACCCAACGCCGCCACCTGCAGTTCAAGCGTGTTCTGACGCTGGAGTTTTGGGTGTTGGTAGGGCATTAAATCTTAATAACCTGGCTTATATATCTCCTTGGAGTTATTTAACGTTCTGTGTGTTCAAATAGCAAGTCTATTTTAGCCTCTCCTGTATGGAATGTAATTATGAGTCTGATTAATCCCGACAAAAACAGTCTCGGTTGACCTTGGCTTCTAAATTGGCCAACTTCCAACGGTTTCATTGTAGAATCGACCTCGTGGATAGTATCACATTTAAACAAAGATGTACCGACTTCCCTGTTAATTGACCGGCATACAATGTGTTTAAAAGCATTCGTGTCCGACCGGTGCCATTTCAATCTTGTATATTTTTGGGTTACGGTTTTCATCCTCAAGCGTTACGACTATCTTTAAATTGTTGGTGTCATTACATTTTTTCTGTGTTCAACAAAGCCGCCTAATGTTAAAGATACGTCGGCCCAGTTCTTCCTTTAATAATGCTGTATTAACTATGGTTCTCTACTCTTTGTACACGTATAACGATATCGCGACAACGTAATATCGGCAAAAGTTATGTTGTCATAATTATTGGCCTTTCCGTTTCAATTTGGTTCTGTGTACGGCAAAACAGACATTCAGATTCAAGCTTTTGTGTGATCTGTCGTACATAAAGACACCAATTAGCACTAGTTTGATTTCTCTTCCTTTATCTCGGTTCTAGTGTTCGTTTATCGACAATTGTTAGATTTGTGCCAACTTCTTTGCTTGGAGCGGTAGGTTTTACTATAACTGTTTATTAAAATTAACATCTGAACTGAACACCGCACGCTGGAACGTACTTTGGAGGGCTACATTAAAGCAGTTTAATTGTGCGTTAAGTTCAATGCTGTGCATAAAGCACATCTTGTTATTTTATTGTAACTATTGGTCTCTTTGATGTACCCTGGTGTGTGTGTCCTATTTAATCAATCTGTATTATCGGCTATGTAAATTTGTGTTTGCTGCATATTTACACCAGAATTTTACTTCAAGTGATTGTTTTTAACACCCAGTTTTGTAATTTAGCTTGAGTAAACGCATTTTTTACAAGTTGACGCATTAGTCAAGTGGTGGTGATTCTTATGTCTTTATCAATTATTTTCAATCCTGTAGTTCCTGGTATCATCGGGACCTTGCAAGCGGCCGAAGTGATCAAAATATTATCGGGAATAGGTGGTAAGTGTAATTTTTACTTAATTATTTTATAATGTCTGGCGAGTTCTGATCATGACCTCAGTGCCGTGTGCACCCACTTGAATCTAATAAGAGAGGCGCCTCTTCTTCACTTTTCCCAAGTATTCGACGATTTATTTAAAAAGTGTGGGTGATGATATCTAATTTTTCAAGTTACTGTTCAAGTGGCTGATAAACCCGATTCTTGTGTTTAAGTATTGTGGCCTGATATTTTGGATTATTACTTGTACTAGAGTTTGCCAGCGGTTATTTTTCATTAATGTAACTATTGGAAACTTCTTGAGCCTTCTTAAAATTGTGAGTATCGTGTTCCCTGATGCTTCCTTTCTTTTATTCGTACAAGAATCTCATGTCACCTGCAACCGCGTTAACAAGAGGCGACTGATAATTCATGTCTATTTGAATCGTTTGTACTTGTATTTGATTTCATCCTAATGAGACATCACTATTTGCAATCATTAACTGTGTATGCTTTTATTAAACCAACGATTGTTTAGAATCAATGGCTGGACGCCTTTTCATGGTGGATATGGAACGGAATAGTATGCGGTCCGTGAAGCTTCGTCAAGCAAGGCCGGATTGTGGGACCTGCAACCCAGCCAACCGCATAACTCCAGAGCAGGTTCGAAAAACTGACTATGTCATTTTCTGCGGCTCTCCTTCTAATGATGCGGTAAGCTTGTTATTCCGTTAATTTAGGCTTAATTGTGTGTTGCGAATCGTGTAGAGCAGCTGCCTTTCATTTCCGCTAGCGTATTGGTCAAAGCGATGTACTATGTATACCTGTTCTACCATGTTGACCATTTCCCGAGTATTGCATCGCCACAAAATTTACTTTTTCTTTGCGTTCACGGATTCCCTTAACGCTGTTTGCCATCGTAGTTCATCTTTACGTTTTAGCCGAGAGCAGCAAACATGCAAATGTCTGACAGTCGTATTTCAGTTCAGGTTAGTTCGCCTTTCCTGCTTACATGAAGCACTGTTTTTGTTTATAGGTCAAATTTTAAGTCCGTGTGTCCTTATTTTCAGGAATTGAAAGAAATGCGGGACTTAAAAAAACCCCATCTTCTCATTGATATTCGACCTGCTGTTGAAGTCGAAATTTGCCGCCTGACGGACTGTCTTTGTAAGTCAAACCGTCGTAGGCCGCGTTACATTTATTTAAGGTGTAGTATAACCCCCCCCCCCCC